GCCCACGTCTTCTTCCGCACCGACACAGTAGGGCACCCTCTCCAGCCTCCTTACACTGGCCCTTTCAGAGTCCTGCAACGGACTCCGAAACCTTTCACTTTAGACCAAAATGGTCACCGAACCACGGTGTCCATTGCCCGACTCAAAGTGGCTTTCTTTGAGGAACCACTTGCAACCCATCCTGGTGCTATCACACAAGCACCCGCACTTACGGTGACTACCAGAGCACTGGATATCCCGAAATCTTCCGTTCCCTTTGACCCTCAACCTACCCCGCCTCAACCCCAGGCAAGCGATCGACGCGGTAGACAGGTCAAACGTCCGGTCCGTTTTAAAGATTTTTTAAAGGTTTGCTATTACTATTAACATGCTTTTGCGTCTTTAGTGCTAATCGTGCGTCACATCTAAAAACGTTTTGTAAAATCGACAAAAATACAAAGCATTTTGAAAACCAAAAAAACGCATTTGCTTTCTTATCATGCATGTCTTGTTCCCTCTCTGGCGTCAAGCCACTTCCCCCGAGCGGTGGCCACCCCCTCTGAGTTTTACCTTCCAGAAACGCAGCCACAGAAACTGCCAAGACAATCCTCGAGTGACTCGTCAACTGGCTCAACGTAACCCCCGAGTGACTCGCCAGCCGGCTCAAGACCCCTTCCTGACGCAAGAAACAGTCAGTCGCCCTCAACCGCGGACGGGCACGACCGGATTGGTCCCAAATGCCTGGCTACGCGTTGCTGGCGAGGACGCCTGGATTTCTTCGTGGGACGTGGACCGTGGACTGGAGTGCGGTGTGGGTAGTGACACCTCCCAAGCGCACCTTCGGGTCTGCAGCAGAGGAAATGTCCTGTCGGCCTTTTTCTGGACTAGCCAGTCTTTTTGCAGTTCGACTACCTCGCCCCGACGGCCCATAGATGATGCACTCTGGTCCACACGATCATCATAAATAATAACTAACAAAACCCAGGACCCAGCGAACTCTGCTACACACCCATCTTGGAAGCCCTTGTCCAAGCCCATGCACCTATTCGCATCCATCCTCACCACCCGTTTTCCCCCGCTAACCGCTCCACCGAAGACTTCCACCCTTCAGCCTTCTACGGGGAGGCCCTTTTAGTGTACCGGAAAATACGCTGTTTCCTTATTTTGCAACGTTGGATTTTACCGTTGTTTTAACCTTCAAAACGTCCACTTGTTTTACTGACGGCACTTCCGTTGTCATAAATTGCTTCGGTGAGTACCTTGGTGCGCTGTTTCTCCCTCTGGTTGATTCACTTCCTATTTCTGTAAACTGCACAATACACGTTGAGTTCAGTCGCGTCCAACTTCTATACTGTCCCGTATTTGACGCATCTCTTACGTGTCATTGCTTCCCGACTAGTATCCTAGGCGTCACCGAACAATCGCAAATGCGCATAGCTTCCTAAGTGTCAAGCCGCATTCGATGATGTCAAGTCTATAATGTGTTCTGACCTATTGTTAACGCATTTCAATTCGGAGCTGGAGATCTTGGTTGCTGTCGACGCGTCAGCCTACGGAGTAGGAGCGGTCATATCTCACATTTTCCCCAGTGGTTCGGAGAATACTGCGGCACATGCAGCCAGATCACTCACCCCAGCGGAACGCAACTGTGGGCAGATCGAGAAAGAAACTTTGGCTATAGTGTTTGCAGTCAAGCGATTTCATAAAATGCTATACGGAAGAAAATTTATGCTGTTCACGGACCGTGAGTCATTGGTCGCAATCTTCGGATCAAAGAAAGCCATTCCAGTCTGCACGACTAGTCGTCTCCAACACTGGGCAACGGTTCTACTTGGTTACGATTTCGTCGTCAACTATCAGTCTACACACGACATTGGTCGGACGAGTGCGTTATCTCGTTTAATTGGTACACAATGTCCGGAACCGGAGGATTTGTCAGTTGCTCAAATTTCCGTAGAACTCCAAGTAAATGAAGTTGCGTCTGATGTTTTCCGTGTCTTATCAGTAACGTTCGAAATGGTGCAGGAAGCGACTCGTCATGATTCTACCTTACAGCAAGTGATCAATTTCAATCTCAATGGCTGGTCTAAGTGAGTTACAACGCCGGAGCTACAACAACTCCACCAGTGGAAGGAAGCACTATCAGTCGTCATCAATGGTCTATTGTTATCAGACCGCATCGTCATTCCTGTCATCCTTCAAGAGAGAATCCTCCGACACTTTCATACTGACCACTCGGGAATGAATCGCATGAAATCTCTGGTACAAAGCTGTGTGTATTGACCCTATATAGATTCCCAGATCGAGTATTTAATAAAGAATGGTCCCCGATGCGCCAATGTTTTTAAACAACCAAGGAAGACGGAAATGCAATTCTGGCCGATGCCTACGAAACCATGGTCCAGGGTACATGCCGACTTTGTGAGTTTAATTGACGGTCATCATCTTCTCATCGTTGTCGATGCCCACAGTAAATGGCCTGAGGTGATCAATGGTGAAAACTACCGCAAGTACCACTGTCTCTGCTCTTTGACAAGTGTTTCCTCGTTTCGGTTTTCCCCGTACGTTGGTTTCGGACAATGGTACGCAGTTCACGTCTTCTGAATTTATTGAATTCTGTCGCAGAAACGCAATCGTCCATGTAAGGTCTCCACCTATCCACCCACAATCAAACGGGCAAGCAGAACGCTTTGTGGATACACTCAAAAGAGCTTGGCTAAAAATGAAAGGGGAAGGTACCTTGGAGGAGATTCTTGACACATTCCTTCTGACATATCGCACAACTCCAAATCCGCAAACACCGAACGCACTATCTCCGGCTGAAACTTTGTTTCAAAGGAAAATCCGTATGCCGCATGATGCCCTCAGACCCAGGAAGGCTCAGTTACTGTCCCGTAACTTTCAGATGGAACGTCAATTCAACATTCGGCACGGTGCTCGAAAGCAAGGCTTCCATGTTGGCCAACCAATTCTGGAAAGAGATTACCACATCCAATATCCCAAATGGACTAAGTGCCGTGTGCTATTCAAACGTGGTAACGTGATCTACGGTATCCAGGTGGGGATGGCAATTTGGGTGAGACATGCCAATCAGCTGCTAGACGCAGGGACTGGCGTACAACTGCAACAACAAGTACCAGCAGCGTAATCACCTCTGGACATACTGGCCGACGCAGGTGAAGCGGGAACTCCCCAACATGCCCCCAACATATCAACCACCGGATTCACCCCGAAACCTGGCAGCACAGAGGCCGAAGCGGCGACGCACATTCGTGTCACCAATGCAGGTCAACCCCAAGCTGAAATTGTATAACACAACTCGAAGAGGGGAAGTGTTCGGAAGGAATACACTTGGCGAACAACCGAGGCGCCCATCGCCGTTACAGAGCCAAGGTATGGCAGACGAGCCAAACTCGTCCGCACTGATTAGGGTGAACAGATAGCCAACCAGCTATTAACAAGAGGGTGGCATTACTTGATTGGCCGTAAGTTAACACTTCTGGAGTTTTTCATGTGAGCTTTTAATACCATTCACGAACTTTCGATGTTACCTTTATAATGAACAGTTGACTGGCTAATACAACCCTTGTTACTCTATTCGTACGATTCGGTCTTCTGTCTCTCTCCTGTGGGAGTCAAACAACCTCGAGTTCCGATTGAGTACCAACCGTCAATTCAGGCAAGGGACGACCACTTCAGGTTTGGAAAGATAAACATGGTAGATCGTCTTTTAATGTGGTGCTGTTCAAGTACCTGATGGATCATTAAGTTGTGGACAGTATTATTACCGGGGTGAAATGCAACCCAGGCTCAACTGAATGACAACGAGCTGCCGTAATATCAGGTTAGTAACATCATTATGACAATGTCTAGACGTTTGTCGTAAGAGACGTTAGAACCTTTCAAGGAGAGGAGATGGTGAATGAAAACGACTAGTCTGTGGATGACCCATCAGTGCTCCACATTTAAGTGAATAATTCCTGCAGACAGGCCACCGTCTTTCGGCAACAACGAGGAGCTAGTACTGAGTTCTGGAGCATTGATCTGATTAAAAAAAACCCGGATGACGTCAGGTCTGACCGATGCTAAAACCCGAAATGTCGCTACTTCAGTCAGTTAAGGGGATTTGACAACCATTGACGATAAAACTCGCCGGATGAATTCTTGTCAGGTCGGCGAGTTTGCAAGCAGGGTGACTGTTTTTCTAGGTGTTCTGAACTTTAGGCGATCCCAGTAGGTTGGTTTGCAGTTGCGTTACTTTGGCTGCAGGCAATTTGATGGCAGTGTGAATGATTTCATCTGGTTCAACCGGAGCCAGCGGAAAGTGCGACCACCCCAATGGAAGGTGAAGTAACAGCCAATACTACCGAATCGCGCATGTAGCTTCAGTAACAGGGAACAGTTGACCACTGACCAAGCGAAAACAGCTCCAGATTTAGAACGCTATCTGTTACGGCGTAATTTCGACACTACTCTACGACCGGTCTCTTCCTTGTCACAGCATCTGGTGTAGAGGTGGCTTGCGCTAAAGGAAATCGCGCCCGGGTTCTCGTAGGCTTCCAGCAGAGATTTTGCGACTAAGACACCGAGGTATACTAGCAACGTTTGTTAGGGCGAACAGGAATTCTTTTAATTATCGGAGTCGACCTATTACCGAACTGGCTTTCCCCAAAGTATCCCAACAAAGAAGTAAACGTCGAAACGTGACAGCGCTATTTGACTGCACCGAAGGTGTCTCAGCAACGAGTAATAAAAGACAAACATGGCAACAGTCAAAATTAGACAAAGCTCATTTCATATCCACCGACAGGTCCTATGAATAACAAATACAATGTGGTTGACATATCACTGAAACGGCACTGATAAACCCTAACTCACAATCAAAGGCTACGAGCTGTTCATTGAACTAAATGTAAAATCCCATGTTGAACGGCCAACTAGTGGACCGTCTTTTTCGCCTTTTCATTGACCAAATGATTATGACCCGGAAAGGTAATTTTTCATTCTGTTTTTCCCATAAGCATCGTTGACGGGCATACACGACAGAATCCACAAGGAGCGCATCCGGAATACGAATGAAAATGATCTTCATCAGAGAAAAATGAACACTACCCATTCAAAAAACAGATCATTCGATTCCGAGTAAGTTCCTGTTTGCAGTGCAGTGTCAAGCAACAAGAAATAAGATGCGATTCATACGTACACTAAAATCCATCGCCCTTTTGATAGTGCACCCGCCCGAAAACACTTAATACCTATCTGCTACGGTCCTAGTGATCGAGTTGACCAAGGTTCACTTCATTGCGATTCGCGATCCACACTGAGATTGCGCGTGGCAATCCATCCACACGAGTGCTTCAAAAGGACCAACCAATTGTTGCGACAAACGTTGCCATTCGTGGCTCGGGGGCTAAAGGAGCAGTTTTCGGCCAACTTCCCAATGTCCTCGGGCTCGAGGCCTGATGAGATCAAATAAGGTTGAAACGCGTCTCGGAGTACTGTGTATTCGGGCGAGTAACACAATATCTATCCACTTCAGTCATTATTCATATTCTCTATGCCTCTACGCCCTCGTGACGGACTTCTGTCCATCGGCCAGTGTTTGAAAGGATTGCACACCTGGCTTGCAATCCTTAGGTCATCGGTTCAAATCCACGCAGGGGCGGGCGTCCTCACCGTATACTTAGCCTACGCGCGACCAGTGGTGGTCGCGTGGCTTCGAAGCGCCGATACAGAGTGCTGGTGTACCGCTGATTAGTTATTTTTTCTGTCCTGTCCATAAGTTCATCTGGATATGTGCTTTTAAACGATGACCTGCGATGGAAAATGATGCCGTATAAACCGTCCCTAAGGCTACCTTGTTGAAGGTATCCGTGCCCCTACCGCTGCACATTTTTTATCCAGATGTTCTACTCAGCCACCGCAGGAAGAACTCTATCCGATTGGACCGTACGAAAGCCCAGTGGTCGGGTCCAATTGTGTCCCCATCCTCAATGCACACCAGGAGTTCTCCGACGCGAGAGAACAGAAACTGGTGCGAATGCACACAATGAACAATACAGACGAATCCTATGCGATATCAGGGGACGAATCCGACGGGTTACAGGTCCGGCAGTCACAGCGGCGAAGCGTCGATCGGGTGAGTTTTTCCAATGGGATAAATGATCCGACACTAAATGGTGAACATAAGAATGTGGGCTGTTGACGGCAAGTTATCCTCCGAACCGATTGTTCGAATACTCAGCATGACTAGGCTAGGCAAGTTCGTAAGCTCAACAGCAATTGGGGTTGACTGCTTGTAAATGTTGGAGTGCCCATCAAAAGCTGCTTACAGAATAAAGCAGCTATCTTCCTGGTTACGGCAATGACCAGACGTCAACAGTGTTTAGAAGCAAGTGTAGCATGACTGCCTGAAGCAAGTGTGTTATGCGCACCATAGCGCCAACATCGCGCCGTTTGAAGTCAACTAGCCATTAGGGATGGGTACATACCGGGTTGGTGAACTCAACCATCTAAGTTTCGCCTGAACGGAAAGTGGGATTGTTGTCAGTGAACGAGCTATTAGATCATACCGTCACGAACACATGGCCATTCTGTTTTAAATGCGAAGTAAAGAATCCTTCTGAAACGAAATTCGTGTCACCGTGGTTTTGTGCGTAGACAGAAACGATAGCGACCTCGTAATCTAAGCTCATCGAACTGTAAAAATTCAAATTAGCAAAAAACATCACCAAACGCTCACTTAGGTGGAAGATTAAAGTAATACAATAGGCAGATAAAACCTGGGGTGGGATTGGCTAAACCACGACAAGCTGAACACGATCAGTAAATCCGACATGTTGGTAGATGATTCGGTTTATCAGTCCGGGTAGCAAGTCTTGTGGTAATTATGTACACCCACACACGTGAAGGTGAGCGCATCTGCTTCTGCACATGAGGTAAACGCCGAGATCCGAGGTGCATGTTATCTAAAGCCTCATTATGACCATGACAAGATGAAATATTACACAAACGCCCTTTGCTTTCGTAGTTCGGGTTACGTTAGCCTAATGGCGATGCCTTTGACAGTGGTTAGAAAGAGTTTCCTACACTCACTGAGATGTCATTTGGTGAAACATGGAAGACTATGGGAGTCCGTGGTTCTAAGTTGATTTCTACTTAGGATCAGGTGTTCCTGTGCGGAACCGTTGATGGTTCTGAATGTGCAATCCCGTAGAGCTCTGATATCCACCTCACCAAGTAGGGGTCGTGTTGAAAGCAAGCCACATGAACCAACCGATCAGACTAGATGCGTCGTTGGACCGATTGCTTGTTAACGAGGGTACATGCGATCATATGATAGGGCTCGTTTCGAAACTGCGCTGTGACAATTAACTGTCATCAAACATCAAGGAGGGTAACACTCGATAAAGTATTATGTGCAAAATCGGCATTGTTCTCCTATATCCGGATCTAAGTATATGACACACGATCCTTACGCTTCATTTGGGAAATCCCAGGCACCCAAGAGACCAGTGAAAATTAAGGAAGATATACCTAAACCGGCTGACAACCACTCAGCGTCAAGGTAGTTGGAGACGAAAGAAGCATTCATAGATGAATCTATGGTCAATGTAAGCAGGGAAGCGATTATGGACTACTGCTTCTTAGGCACACAAACAACGGTAATGCAATCCAAATACATGCACACCAAAAGGACGATAACTGATTGTCGTTTGTCCTTAGTTTTAGTACCTTAGGTCACACACACACTGCGTTGCGATATCCTGCAGACCATTGGTTATGGCGTACTCCTCATGCTGTGATTTGAACAACTGACCTCAAGCTCGTTTCGATCACCCCACTTTTTCAAAGCCAGCACCATCGAAATCTCTTCATTTGTAAGGTCGGTTACATTTGTGAATCCATCACATGCCCCGCGTATACCACTTCGGTAGACATGAGCAACAGAAGAATTGCGATCGCAATGCAACAAACTCGTGTGTAGGCTCAGTTTACTAGGCCGTTAAAAAGGACGAGAGGGAAGCAAACCTATATGTAGATGAGAACGTGGGTGCGCAAGGGTCGGGAATTGCTCTAATTGTTACATTGCACTTCAGGAAAACAATCGAAACTCGCTTGTAAACCGTCAAACTCTTTTATTCTCAGGTGGACAGTGTGGAAGACATACTCCAAGCAGAAACGCAGGATATCAACGCGGGGTCGTTATCTACCGTTCCTCAGTATGAAGGCTGCTATAGTGATACAGAGAAAGAGACGGAAGACTCGTATTCCGTAAAGCCACTCATGTCACCAATACAACTACCCATCTGGGATGCCCTGTTCGTACGTTCGGAAGATGAGGACAATAGTGCCCAAGAATCCGATCCGAGGTGAGTTTGACACTCACATGAATGCATCTCAGAAGAAATATATAGGAAGACCTGTTGAAATAGTTATCATTGTGGTGAACAATCTTACTATGTTAACAAGAAATATACTTGGTAGTCTTAGTTTCAGAGACTTGGAAGCGTCTGTTTGTGGGTTCATCCGGAAATGCTTCGTTATTTAACTTAAAAGCTATCAGGCTGGGTCACCAGTGACTTAATTCATCCTTTAACTATTTAAATGTGGTGTATTTAGTCTGATAATGGATCATCGAAAATAAGCTTCTTTGGTACACCGTCTTTTCATGATTGAACCGGGAATTACGCTCTTGGTGACCACAATCGTGCTGCCGGTTTCTGCTATTTAACCCGACCCGCGTATCGACACTCGTCAGAATGGTGAGGCTTAAATTACTTCATTTCATTTCGTCCACAAAACTATTGGATTTGGCGATTTCAAATGCCTCGGAAATTAACCTTCCGGGTGTCACTCGGAATATTGTAGCTCCTGAGAGGACAAACGAAAGCGTTCATCAGGAACTTTTACTAGTTTGTCCAGCACACAGCTGCGCTCAGCATCAAGCCGAACAAACAGATGTGACTTCACTCTTTACCAGTGTACCCGAAGACGAAACACCGCAGTTAGCAAGATGTTGTCTAAACGAGGATCGTATTTTTGTTGCAAGAACACCTGATCGAATAGTGGAGGGCATGGCAGTGTGCTGTTGTATATCATACTTCGTTTTTCAGTCGAAGCTGTACACCCAAGAACAAAGTTTGGTCATGGGATTGCCAATATTCCCCGTATTGGCAAGCTTTTACAAGGATGGATTTTAGGGAAAGGTGTGAGTAGCTCATCGGAAGTTCGGTGGCGCTACACAATCAACACCGTGATAATGAAAAAGAGTATCAAGGAGGAATTTTTAATCAGTAACTCCCATTTACCAGATAATAAACTTTACGATGGAGTTGAAGTCTTACAGTTACACTATCATTCGACACATAAGGTGCTTAATACGGAGGGCATACTGGTGATCCTCCAGGAGGCCATGCTGGAAATCCTGCGCTGGTGCGTTGGAAGAACCCCTTCTCGCAAGTACGACGAATAGCTGTGTGTACAGAACTGATTGTAAAGACCGTGCAAACGTATATATTTGGTAAACAGTGAGACAACTAAGAATTTCTATATGAGAAAACAAAAGTACATTTATCGACCGCCGAGGAATGAGTTTTCAAAGGCCCGGCAGTAGCGATACACGTGCTGAAGACAAGATATGAGATTGGTTTAAACGATGTCGTGACCATTTGGAGGGTACTGCAAGCAAAGCCTCAGATGTTAATTGCCGAGGCGATGGAAATCACTGAAGCTAACAGCTGCGTGAACAGAATGCAGGTGGTGGAGCTCTCAACTACGGGATGAGTAATCATAATCCGAACAGTCTGACAGGCATCGATACGCGGATCATGTTGGGTAGCGGAGACCGGCAGCATCACTGTCATCACCAAAGCCGTAATTGCAAAGCGCCGGAATAGGTTTTCTGACTGGACCACTTGAGATGACATCTCTGCCCCGTGTCCCTAATAGTCCATTAGCCCCTGTTGGATATAAAAAGTTTGATGATGAGTTTACTCCAAAAGCGAAGCGATATCAAATAACTACATAGATCAGTTGTTCCCAAATGTCTCAGAATGCAGACCAAATCTTTTGTATAAGGTACTGGTGAGGAAATCCATGAATGGGCAATTACCAGAGCAGGACATGTCCAATTAATAGCAATTTACGTAACATTTATGCTGGTACGTCATCTGCAATCACTGACAGTAGCTACAGAGTGATAGTACATTAAGGGAGAATTTTGGTCCTTTGTTTTATTGCCTGCTTACATGTAGATCTTGGGGTACCTAGCTGACGCGCACATCGTCTCGTAAGGACTAGTAACGGGACAAATAACTGTCCATGGAGAACATAAAAATAGTCCACTGTTAGGCACAAGATATCACTCCACTTGGGGCAACATCACGTAGCAAGCTGAAGTAATGCACTACGTTGTAGTGTTCCAGGCCAGGCGGCCAAAAATAGGTTTATACAATCAATTGCCTCCATTGCGAAAGCAACTTCCTCTGAAAAGTACTCATTCTGCCCCATTAATCTCTCAAGATGCATCCGTTATCATATTACACTCAACTGGCGCGAACGCCCATAAGCACGTACCGTTCGTAGAGTGAACAATCTCAAATCAGTCAATAGCCTACTAGACGATTACACGGAACGGGATGCTAGATGACTCTTGAACTCGACAGTGCATTGCGTAGTGGGGTGTCCAGCGGTATTCGGTAATGAAACTCAGTCACGATTAGTTACACTGAAACTAGCAGAGGTTCATCAAACTTACGCGGTACGACCTGTGCTTAGCGGTGTCTACGTGCAATAGTGTGTAGGTGGTAGCTGTGGATAATGCATCTAGCTCTGCACGCAACTACCTGTCTATGTGAGATTTCATATGCGCGCGGTATGTCCTCGCGCATTAGCATTGAGCAAAATGTTGATTAGCCGTCCATCTACCGCTAGGCTCCCATATGACTGAGGCCAAATGATCTAACCGATCGGCAGAATGACATGACTGTCGCCCACGCACTGTAGTGGAGGCTCGGCTGACAGAGTTTGGGCTAGTGGCTCCAGAGGGGCGGTGAGAGCATGTGACACGCTAACTCCTGACCTGCTTGAGAGGGCGCCTGAGTTTGCAATTGCTTACTGTCAATCTTGCGCCTCTGTGGTTCAGTTTGCTCTTGGTGAATATTTCAAGTAGTTGTCCCATGTTTGCCAGTGCGTTTGCAGGCATTTACCAGGCTATGTGGAATATTCCACACGCGTGGTGTTTCCTCGCGCGCTATTACTGGACAACGCGAGCGGAACATCGCTTGATTGCGTTGATAGCTGAGGAGTAACGATAAACGGGACAAGCAGCATTTTAAACTAAGTTTGAAATCGATAGGGAACTCATGATTTCGGTAGCGCATGAATACATCATTTCGCGTTTGGTACGAAAACTTTGTCTGGCCGAGTGAACAAGCGGCTGCTTGGTACGGCATTTATAGCAAACTTGGGGGGGGGGGGATGATCGCACCGACTGAGATGTAAGTGGGATAGTAATTCTTTTACGAGTCAGTATCATTTCAAGTGGTACAGTCGGAATTGTAAGGTTCAAAATGTTGCACGTTACGAGTTCCCTATCAGTGATGGAGATGGGACGATTTGATGTTCGCCTACCAACACTCATCAGACCGCACGGTTTAATCCGCCCATCCAGTATGTTCACACGGTTGTTGGCTCAGCTATCAAAATTTGGAGCGTTGACTGCAACCTTCTCCTAATTATGTCGACAATATCCGGGTAAATCTTTTGCTCTGTGCATAACGCGTGCACCGTTACTGCCGAATCTCATAGTAGAGCCTCCTATTCAGACTCGTCCTTCGGTGATCGTTACATGGGCATCATGTGGTCTGCTAGCGTTGTGCGTAGCTTGTTCGCGGTTTGGCCTATGCACACACGTGCACAGTTGTTGCGACTAATTTTGTGCACGCAGTTAGTCGTCCTACCCACAGGAAGTGAGCAAATCGAATGCACCGTTGTCAAACGGATTCTGAACTTTTTGAAAAATCACCATCTGAAATGCCAACGAAGTTCTTTCTTCTAAGAAATTCTTACCATCCCAATCCATTCAGTGGTATGTTTTAAATATGGTTTTAGAATATACCGAAACTGGTGTTTCACTAAAAATTTCCGGTGTTCACTGTTCAGTAATTAGATCATTGAGATTGAGCGTCGCGATCCAATCACACAACGTGTAGTCCAAACTTGACCCTACAATTAGTCATTACCGTTGTGCCAAGCGTTGCCCACTATGACCCGGTAGCCAAAGGGGTAGAGGTTTCGGCTACTATTCCAATGGTCACGGGATCGAGGCCTACTGTCTCCACCTGATGAGATGAAATTACATCGAAACACGTCGTGATTGTGCAGTGTCTTCGGGTGGACAACACCCAATTCCTATCTACTTTGAATACGGTCCCAGTGATCGCAGTGACTAAGGTTAATTTCAATGTGAATCACAGTTCATTACATTGAGATTGCGCGTCGCAATCCAATCACACAACGTGTGGTCCAAACTTGACCCTCCAATTAGATCATTGTCTACTTCCAATCGGCCTTCTGATTCTCTTCCTCTGTGCACAGAGCCTTGGCTCTGTGAAACACAGATCAGGCGACCCCAACACACACATGCTTTGGGTGACCTGAACTGTACTGCAGTGTCCCAGCTGTGTTTGTGGGCTTACGGACAGAGCAGTCAAGGAATGGCGCTGCACCACTATAAGATTTCAATTCCATCGTGAAATTTATAGTCTCATTGGGTCATTTCAGGTACACCCTCATTGAGGCTTCCCTACGCTACGCTACTTGTTACACGTTACTCAGTAACGCACTGATGAGGTCACCTCGATTTTTGACGAAACATCTGCACCAAACTTTCCAAGTTCAACGAACAGTTCGACTGCCATCAGAACAGCCTGAGCTGCCAATTTTCACTTTTATGCCAAAGCAGTTCGAGCGTGCAACGCTACAAGAAGCTCGTCGTTGTGAAACTTTTGCCTGTCGACAAGCATGCACACACAAACAGCTCTACTTCTTTCATAAATGCTTGAGAAGGAACGTACTTCAGCGAGTGCTAGCCACAGACCAGCTTTAAAACATACGGATGCCTGGAGACTTGCAAGACAATATGGAAGTCGCATGCTCAAGCTGCTGATTAGAAATGCACAAAATCCCCTACGTAAATATGAGAAAGTCATTATCGATAACAGAATCAATTATCTCAATACACTTGGGCCACAACTACAGGGAGTACTGGAATCCGCGATCGAACGTCGGGTTGAGAACACAAGGAACCGACGCAGCATTGCACTAAACACAGTTAAACAACCTCACTATGAAATTTATCCGCGCCAGC